TCTGAATTTATCTGTTACAAATATACAAATGTAAGGCAAGATATAAAAACGAATAAAACAAGAACATGTAAAAAGTAACATTAGTAAAATGTTCATTAACAATGCATTCAGAATAAATTGTCTTGTAGTTAAGTGAAAAAATATATACTTTTCCGTTTCATGTTTCATGACTGTCATATTTATCCTGTAACCTTAAACGGAAGCATCGGATATTTTTATTCCCGTCAAATCATATAGTTACACGCAATATGAATGAAATATATAACACTTCATTTGTGCTAATAATACTCAGAATTCATGCTTTATCGGTAACGTCAGGTATTGACACTAAAATGGTAACAGTGTCACGTAGCTCTATGAACGTGGGACAGAAAAAAGCATTGGATGATAGGTGTATTCTATACCTAGTCGGTGGTTTTATCGTATACAGTGAAGGAATAATTAGAAACAATGAAGAATAATGAATAAATTAATGATTATAAATTATAATCTACATGTTACCTAGCAAATCATTCTTTTAGAATTTCTTGTTTTTTGTACTGATTTTTACAAACACGAATAGTAATGTAATTCATCGTAAAATCATATTGAATACGTTTTTCTGTTTAAAGATCAAGGACTTACGATCGCAGTGAGCAGATTCACTCAAGATAAAAAAATCGCAATCACGGTTGCGAATGAACTTAATCACGACCGTAATCGTGATTCGGCGATTACTGTGATAAATCACCGTTAGTGATTTTGCACGCCATCTTTACGCTGCACGCTGCACGCCGTTGCCCGCCAGTGAGGTTGGCGGGTGCTGAGTTATCCATCACTGTTCTATACAATTCTATAATGTATGTCGTGTATACCATTAAAGAAGCTGAAAGAAGCTTGTCAGCATCAGCAGCAACTTATAAATCTTGATGTTTGAACGATAAATAAATATGATACTGAGTAGCATGTAGGTCTGAGCGTACGATATGTCTGTTATAAATTCGGCCTATATCATCAAAATGTCACTCGTCAGAAATTTGATTTGTATAAAGTGAGAAACGACTCGATGAAAATATCTTCTAACAGAAATGGTATCGTTAAGTAACGTTCTGAAAGCCGTAGAGGCTTTAAAAACAACCCACGAATTGAACGCACTCCTATTAGATTCAAGCACCAGGTACAGGGAAACGTTGGTTTTCTTTTGTTCATGTAATAATGATCAAAATGATAGCAAAAATGTCACACTAAAAATTCTGTTCTTCATTGAAGGAAAGACAAGGTAGCATGTTGCATGATAATAGCGGAAGGAATGTGTTCCCCAACTGTCAAATTGGCACCAAAATTTCCTCAGGTTCTTAGCGTTTCAATTGAAACGTTATTAAGGTTATGCAATGATGATGAGTCCGATGTCAGAATGATAGCAGATGAAACTTTAAATAAGATCATAAGGGTATAATAGTTGTACATTCTTTACCGGTTAACATTACGTATTTATAATATAGCTTAAGATTCTAACAGTTTTATTATTTGCTAGGCAATGACTGACAGTAACATTGTCAAAGTTCAGTTAGAACTTTACAATGAAATTAAAAAAAATGGACCAGCTAGAACATTAAGGGCTGCTCTTTGGAGATTCGGGCTTCTTAGTCATATGATTCGCCCTATAAGGGGAAAAGCATATGTATCTAATCTAATACCATGCATAGTAGTCATTGCTCACCGGTCTGAAGAAGCTGTTATTGAAACGTTGTCTCAATCATTACCTTTAATTATGAAAGCTCTGGGGCCATTTATGACAGACAATGATGTTAAGGTACTTTACAAAAGTAAATGTCTCTTTACCGTACCCATAAGTTGATGTGTATTCACATTTTACAGATCTTATTGAAAGCATTCTTTATGAATGTGTATTTCCCATCAGCAGTGTTCCGAAGAGCTTCTGCAAACATGATTCTAGCAACATGCTTAAATTGCAAAAAGCCACAATTTTTTTTTAATTATGTATTAAATTATCTATTAGGTAAACACTTTCTTTAAATATGGCATACATAAATGAGACACCACTGTAATTAAATGCTATTTTATGACAGGTATGATAGTGCCTATAAATGAGCATGCTAGTCGTGTAGCTATCATTGGTATATTTGGTTGTGTAAGACTAATTTTGCCACACATATGTAATATTGGAGAACTTCAAGACGACGAGACCATGCAAATTAACAGATTGTTGCAAATCTATGAACTATGTTTACATTATACAAAATGGCACTCTGATCATAATGTTGTGAATGCTGCTCTGGAAACTTTGACTCAGCTTTTCAAGTCACCCCCAAAAGCTTTGGTGTCTTTATTGTTATCAAATCATGGTATAATGTGTAGTAGGATAGTATTAAATCAATGTGATACAATGTTATCCTTAAGTCAAATGAGTATCTCAAGTGCTACCACCAGTTGTGGAGAAAATTCGGAATCTACTTTAAATTCACTTGAATCTGATACATCGGAAATGAATCCAGAAATCAAACAATGTATATTGGATGCTGAGGATACATCCACATTGGTTCAGAATATACAGGCTCAGAAGGAATGTGGAAGCGATGTTGTGGAAATGAAAGGAAACGAACAGGAGATCTACAGTGGTTTGAAAATTGGTGTTGCTGATAGTAAGAGAAGTGTATAAGCTCTTAATGTGTACGTTCATTGTGCGAAGATTACAGTATTCATAATAATGTTTATTTTAGATAAGGCCGTAGAAGAGGGTAACGATTTTGGGAACGAAATAGAAGAAACAGAGAAAGTTCATCCAAGTTTACAAAACGACGGAAAAGAAGTAGATATCTCGAAAAAAAATGCATCGCCTATTGGTTCTCCTAAAAAGCATTCTTTGGAGTTTTCATTCCGCGAAATGGATATTGGAACTTTCACGGACTCTGATATACCCCTAAAATTTTGTTGTCGTTATTTGGTGTCATCTTTTCTTTTAACCGGCAACGTTGGCCATATAACGCCAGATAAATACTTTCGCGTTAGCGTAAAATCCCTTGCTTTGAACTGCCTGGCTTCTATCATAAAACTTTGCCCGAATCTGTTCTTAATGCCTGTTTCCAAAGAATCGAGTAACACTGAAACCGAACAAATGATAACAGATATCTTATTGTTTGCAAATCATCCAGATCCTCAAATTAGAGGTAATATATCGATCATTATTGGCACATTCTTAAAGTCTGTATTTACCCAATATGGTGGATCTTTCAAAAATTTTGAAACTGAAGTCGCGAAAACGAAAGCATATAGCAATGTATCGTTAGAAAATTTGGTGAAGTTACTCTTACAGGTGAACACTTACTGTAAAAATTTTAAGAAGTTGATAACATTCGAAGAACGTTGATTGATTCTTTTTAAAACAGGGACTAGAAGATGATTCTGCTACAACGTGTCGACAGACGCTAACAGCGCTTAGTTTATGTCTACCGGAATTATTAGAATCTGTCGACAATCATCATGGAATTACTCTGTTAACCGCATTGCCTCAACTAGTAAAGAATCCATATTTTCTGGTGAAAATTAAATTAGCAGAACTCTTAAGTGAAATATCGTATGTTACTATTGAACATATAACTGGTGGATCAATGTTTCAAGAATACTTCACGAATGTTATCGTAACGCTGTTAGGCGATCCCGATCAGAGAATTAGACACGCAGCATCAGATGCTATCGTGAAGTAAGACTTTTCAGAGTCTTTACATTGTTCTATCGTCGAATTGTTTGTGTTCACACTAACACAACCTTTTTCCAGGAGCATTCCCTTGTTATACTTTCAACAATCGCAAGAGGATGTTGTTACAAGAAAAGCTGTGCAATACGCGGAACAGTTTTTAAGTGCCGTAAGCCGAAGTAGTTTAGAACTGTCGTCTTGTCAAGAGAAACAAAAATTATTTGTTAAGACGACTATACAACCATTTGCTTCGTTAAATTTTCATAATGGAGCATACTATCATCCGAATGCAGAATACTCTTTGTCTGTTATAGTGAACATGTTCGCTGAAATTCTTGCAGTACAATCGTCCAAATATTTAGTGTATGGTTGCTGCGAAGCTCTGTTCCGTTTAAGCGTTGCATATACTACTACAGTATATATTCGGGGATGGGATTGCATTTTACCAAAGACATTGTTGAAGAAGTCTCATAAAAAGAATGGTAGCCGGTTAGACATTAACGAAACAAACTTTACAAGCGACATGATGCTATCTTCAGTTAGTAACGGTCTCTTGTCTTTAGCTCTGCCTTTGCTCTCATCGTCTCCAATAAGTCTAGATTTGTCGACACACAGGCACCTGATTCTACTTGCTGGCAATTTGGCGTCAGGTCTGGCTTTCTGCAATTTCAAACCACATGATCCATCCAAAAGTTCGGGCACGTTCAGAGACAAGCAAATAGAACTGCTGTTGACGCACGTTGTCAGGGTATTGAATATATTTGTTCATATCATTGACGACGTCCAGTTAGCGCAATCGAGCACGAAGTCGACGTTAACGACATTAACATCCACGCAAACGTTGTCCCCGAAGAAGAAGGTAATCTTTGAACAGAAGTCGAAGGAGAAGGGAGAGCGATTCGGAAGCTTGAAGTTCGGGAAAGAGCAAATGGGCGCGTTCGTCTCGGTGCCTCATTACATGAAAATGTACGACATCCTTAAAGCGGCGCACTTGAATTACTTGGGCACTTTGGAGCCAGATGCCAGTGAAATGTACTTGTCCTTGTTGAACGCAGTCCTGGATGTTCTCTCTCAGATTCTTGAAATAGTGTCTTTCAATGAGGTAGCTCAGATCACAGAGGAAACATTATATTATCTACAAAGTACCGTCGTTCTTTCACCAACCGCGACTGTCCAGTGCGTGCAGCAGCTATTGAAATGTTTGTGCAGCACAAATGTGTACGCACAATGGAACGAATCGGAGGGGCAAAGAAACACCGACAGAATCGTTATATTAAGGGACGACATTAAAGGATTCTACAACCATTGTTTTCAAAATCCAGCTAGGCAAATGGCAGATACGATCAAATGTATGGGGAACAATTGCAGAGGTGAAAATGAACCGGATACAGGGTGAATATCTTATGGTCCGTTTAAAAAAGCAACACTTGCAATCTCATTACGTGAACCGTTTCCTTCTATTTCAGATGGGTGGGATTGTTACGCAGAAAAGGGGACAGAAAATTCTCATCGGTCTTCAAGAATTTATCCCGTTCGATGGATCAGAAGACATCGATAGCTTCGTTTATTCGTCTCTTCGAGCCGATGGTGATAAAATCTTTGAAGCAATACACCGTGACAAGTAACGTGCTGCTGCAGTGTCAAGTGTTAATGCTGCTTAGCCAGCTGGTGCAGCTTCGTGTTAATTACTGTTTGTTGGACTCCGATGGAATATTCATTGAATTTGTGTTGAAGCAATTCGAATTTATCGAAGAGGGCCATGTACAGCAGACGGAGGATCTTTTGCCGGAGATCTTCAATTTTTTGGTACACTTGTCCTACAAGAAAAATCACTCGAAGACCATAATAACTGTCCCGAACATTATCCAGTTGTGCGACGGTCTGATGGCCAGTGGGCAACCTGCGCTCACGCATTGTATACCGGCCATTGCACCGGTCGTCGAGGACGTGTTCCTGATACGTAACGCGAGCTCGAATCCGATAGAGCAGAGGGAATTGGAAACGACACGGGAAGTGTTGATCTCGATGCTGTTGCGTCTCGCGGAGTATTATCAGATCATCGAATTGTTGGCGTTATGCCTCACGGAGTCTCGGTTCAGCGGGGACGGCAACGGCGAGGAAAAATGGCGGAGATGGTCTAGAATGACAATGGACACCGTTCTGCCGATGTTGACCGCCGGCAGGGTACAAATAGAATCGGAGAACGCCCACGTTGCGTTGATCAAATTATTCGCCGCGATATCCCCGACAGTCTTCAGGCCGGTCGATCCACTATTGAAAGTGCTTCTGGTTATACCCGAGGACAACTTGATCGCGTCGAGTTTGCGGTTAAAACGATGGCTTGGAATGATCAACGTCGTCCTACTATCGTTGATCTCCTGCGCTAAAGAAGAGGCGATGCTCGCACGGTTATCCGATCTGAGCGCGAACATGACCGAATTCTCGCAATCGTTCCTATTCCCGGAATCCTCTTGCAGTAGGATGGATCCGTTGAATGTTTTGGGCACGCGATCAATCGACGTCCCACCCGAGAGAATACTGGCCAGATTCATTTTCAAAGTGATCAGCTGGGTCGGCTCCAAGGTGTACAGTCTCCTAGGTCTGATCGATCACAGGATCAACGATCCGTATGTAAAGTTCGTCGAGTCGTTGGAAAACGACCGTTACATGCTCCAGCAATTCGCATTTTTCCTCCAGCTCTGCATTCACATGTTCGAGTCCGGCAGTCATTGCAAGGTCGCGAACGCGACGATGCAGATGATTCAAGGTCGCAACGTGCCCGAGGAAGAGAAACTGCCGATCGGCGATCTGAATTACTTGATGCTGAGCATTGGGAACAGTTGTCCGACGTTAACGTGCCAATGGATCTATCTGATGACTCTGTTAGGGTACAACGAAATGACATTCTGGTCGAAGGTGCTGGCCACTCAACGCTCGGAGTACGTTGTACATTCGATCCTCGTTGACGGGAAGAACACCGATTGTTCTAGCAGCATCAACATTCGGATCATCGGTAAAGGCGGTATTATATTGTTCTGCGACTATGTATGCGAGAATTTGAACGACGCGGAGCCGCTGACGTGGCTGCTGGTCAACCACACCGAGGAGACGGTGAACAATGCGATCGAGAGTCCCGCCCGGGATCTATTAACCGCGGCTGTACACAGAAATCCGGCGGCTAGCGGATTGCTGGTGCAGGCGATCGCGACCAAGTGTACGGACTTGTCGCGGCCGAGTTTCGTCAAGCGGCTCCTACAATGCATAGAGGGCGCCCATCATTCGCAAAGCGGAGCGGTTCTGATGACCTTGATCCCGCGATTATTGTCCACAAAGTATCTGGCCTTGTCACGAATGGCGGCTAAAATAGCTAGTCGAAGAGTGGAGATCCTATTGACCACACCAGTCGCGGATGTAACCAAGCAGCTGGCCAAAGAAGATTTCATCAAGATCATGGATACTCTACAAACGACGAAACTCGCGAAGAAGCACGGATCTTTGGTCAGTCTTTTGAACAAGCTCGGTATACAATACTACGATCTGTCGCCGTTAGAGCTGGACCAGTGTAGACCGTTCAATCCATCCACCGTCAAGAGTATCCAATTGGATCGTAGTTGGTTTCTATCTCAGGTGAAATTACGATGTTGCTGTCCGAACGTCGGTCACAACACGTCCGAGGCGGCACAGTTGTTGGAGAATTTGAATTACGAGGACTGTCTCGGCATCCTTACGTGCAAAGAGTTCAATATCGCGATCCTGAAGTCCTGTATAATATTAGGCGCGCGCACCAGCGTGGAGAAGTGCCAGAAGCTCGAGTTCGGCGCGGCCCAGAACGAGAAAGACTTCAATTTCGAGGCGAGTCCGTTGTACAGCGCGGCAAAGCAATGCTTGCTGGAGCACGTCCGTTACGTCGTCGAGTTAATGCCGAAACCCCATCGGATCTACGATCCCGAGCAGCCGAGCGTCAACTCGAAGGAGACGAAATACGCGATTCGTCTCGGCGAGTTGTTAAACGAGTCTATGTATTGGGACGTGTTGTTCATGCTGATACCGGCCGTGAAGCTTTACATGCGAACGTTGCCGAAATTGGCCAGATACGATCTAGGGAAAATCGACATCAGGTCCGAGGAGGATCTCGCGAAGTTCTCGGTTCTCTGTCTGGAGACCACGCACTGGATGATACGCTCAGATACGAAAAAGCTGAGACCCCGGGACATGGAGCTGGCGTTGAGCTGCGCCTCGGAGATCTTGAAGCACCCCGGGCCGTGCAAAGTGCTCGGGGACAGCGCGCGATACTCGTGGGTCTGTACCGCTGCCGCTTCATTGACGAGGATCGTCGAGTACCTCCTAACGACACTAGACTCTTTGCCGGTTATAGATGCACGGGCTTTACAGCCGGCACTCGAGGACGTGGAGACCAAAGATTACGCTCAGGCCTGCGTCCGTATGGCGGCCCTGGTCGCCTGGCTGGAACAGTACCGGAAGGAAGGATCGTCGAATAACATACCGGAGTCTCTGTTCACGACGATCGAAGACCTGATCGTGAACGTCGGCCGGCAACCGTTGTGCAACTCGTACGTCCTGACGCCGCCGTTGGTCTGGAAACAACACTGGGACCTGCTCGGTTCCGGCCCGACGAAATGTTACATCCCGTTGCTGCCGTCCGAGTCGAATCTGTTGCTGGAGGTGGAGATTCTTGAGCAGTTTATTTACAGGATCAATCTGTTGGGCTGGATCTCCCGGCCGCAGTTCGAGGAGATCTGGATGGCACTGTTGGGCGTGCTGAATCTATCGCAGAACGAGCCCGTGGTCTCCGACGAGATACCGACGTTGATCCAAGCGAGCAGCCGGGCCGTCCTAGCGATCACGCGGCTGCTGTTGCAGACGTTGTATCTTCCGTATCCCGGTAACTCGCGTGCGTCCACGCTGATCCATCATCCGAGGGATCCCCAGCTGTCGGTGCATAAGGTCAGCACGCAGAAATTGCACGCGATCCAAGATCTGCTCGCGTGGAAGTACGAGTGCATGAACGACTTCGAGACCATCGACGGTCGCTTGAAGATGGACCACGTGTTTCACCGTGGAAACGTCGAGAGGGTCACCAGCACGAATAGATACACCTACAGCCAGCTATCGGTGTCATATCTGTGGTCCATGTGCAACTTGTACGAAGACAAGCTGAACGCCTCGGTGCTGAACTTGAAGAACAGGCGAAACGACGCCCTGATGTCCTCGTCCCTCGATCTGGACTCTTGCCTTCGGTTTCTGGTAGAGCTCTACACCACTTGGATGTCACCTCAGAACAACACGCCCGTGCAACTGCTGACGGAGACGGTCAAGTCTGTTCTAGCGATTTCGGAGTTGTTCGTGGAACGGGGCCAGCACCAATGGATGCTGGACACGTGCTTGGAGATCGCGAGGGTTCATACGGTAGAAAATGTGATTCTGCATCAGTACTTGGTGGTGTGCGTATGCAAGGCGGCTGCTGTCTTGACACCGTTGGTGCGTTCCTTAGAGATCATTATCGCATATACAGGGTGTCCCACGTAAATGAAGCTTCAGGAGTTTCGTCGAACTTTACAGAAAATTGTGTTAAACAAAAGTTGACCTATATTTAAGTGTGCATAGCTTTCATAAATTAGAATGTTTATATCTGCATTTTTTTTTCGGACAAATGGATGATTACCTCCTGTTTTTTAAATGAAACTATAACATTTTTTTTAGATACTTTTCATTCAGACGAATCGTGACAAATCTAACAACTATAAATATGTTGCAGAAAAAAATACAAATAACGTAGAAAAAATCAACAGAAATTGTACAACGTTGTACTATATCAGCTATATCAAGGTGTCCATTCAGAAATAATCGAACGCTCGATTCTTTTTTGTAACATGTGTCATTATGGTCGTTGGATTTCTTATGATCTGTACTAATGAGAAATATTTTAAAAATGCGGTAGCTACGGTTAAAAAATAAATGGTAACATTTATATCGCCCCCAAAACGTGTAACTAAAGAAATTCTGACTGACGAAAGTTGTGCACACTTAAATATAGTTCCAAATTTTGTCTAACGCGATTTTTCGTAAAGTTCGAGCAAAGTCATGAAATCTGGCGACACTTACGTGTGGAACACCGTGTACGTACAATGAAATCACTACTATACAATGAATTCACGTATTACCTTCCAGGATTTCGAAACGTTGGACAAAGTCAAGCGACTGATCGATATCAACTTGAAGTCAGGTTTCTTACCCGCGAGGGTTGCCGCTCTTCACGGTTGTATGTACTTGCTACAAAGCGCGGTGCTAACGAACTGCGAGGAAACGATGAACATCGTTCACCCACTGGCGATCGAGTATATACAGAAGCATCTGGATGCTCAGGATTCGAACAGGTAAACACGTGTGTGCAATGGAACACCCGGGCCGTTTTTCTTTTGTCACAGACTAACTTGCTTTTTCCCTGTACTCAGTGTGCTTAGTCAAAGCGAGGAGCATCAGGCCGTTATGTGGGCTCTGGTGTTCTTTCTGCTGGAGCACGCGGAGGACACACCGCCGGATACGGAAGCTCCAGCCGTACTGGAATTAGTTCTCACCTTGCTGACCTCCCAGAATATTTCCTCGAGTTTGCATCAGACCCTTCTGCAGGTATACTAACAATAAGTTAGGCTCGCAAAGAGCATTGTGTTGTAGAGTAAATCATCGATGAGTGTTCGAAGGTTCCGCGGCACTAACAAGGAGAGGTACTCAGGTGTAATGCTGACTTTTTAATGAGGTTTAGCTACTGATATGTATATGGATACGGGATGGGTACTTCTGCATGGGTTGTTGATTTTTTAAGGTACGCCATCTTTGAAAATAAACCACCTTCGCCGCCTGTACACCGGAACAGTAACTAACGCTTTTCATTCACATGCTATCACGCTTTATGAACTTGCTATGCATTGCGATTGGTAGCCAACGCTACTGCGGGAACTCTGTCGACAGACGCGCGCTCTGATTGGCTGGGGTTTTTCGTTAATATCTCGTTAACAAACCCTCGAATAACATTTTCGCTAAGGAAAAAGTTGTTTCAAATCAACCCAGGAACCCCTCGTTTTCGGGAGTCGAAGCTATTTTGGGACACCCTGTATACAGATCAGTAGGTTTGGCACAGTGATAGAGCTTGGAATTCCAAAGCCAATGATATTTGTTTTAGCTGCGTATGACCGTTAGTTTATGAAATATTTAATGTTCAGTGCCGAGGAGTCGTCGAACACTCATCGATGATTCACTGCATTGTTTACCGATCGAATCGACAGGGACTCGAGCGATTGGTGATCACGAAAAGCGTGATCGGAAAGGTGGCCGAGCAGATAGTCAAGGTGGCGATCGACCGACTGAGGCAACCCAGCCCGATGTTATCGTTGCCCGCGTTGCAGCTATTGCTCACCAGTATGTACACGGAAGCGGCCGACAGGTTGAACCAACCGGAAATTGAGGAACCGTTGCCGGACATAGAACCGGAGGCTCTGGTCCGTTCGATAGAACGTACCTCGGCGATTTTCGACAAGATCAGGAAAGGATATTCCATGGAAGTGGAGTTGCTCTGTACAGTTCTGTCGGGCGCGCTCGGCGACTTCTTTCCGCCGTCCGAGATCCTGACGAAAGTCATAGGGGAATTTCTGTCGCCGCAACAGCCGCATCCGAGATTACTGTCCGCCGTGGTCTTCAAAGTTTGTAACTTCACCATGAGGGAAACGGAATATTCTACAGGGTGGCTGCGTGAACAGTATACATACTCTGTATTCAAGATCTGTGAAAATAATAATGTTAAAAGAATTCACTATAGCCCGTTAATTAGCTCTCTCGTGCCATTAAATTTTATGTAAACAGTTTTCTCGTATTTTAAATGGTTTAAGAAATAACGGACTGTATACTGTTCGCGCAGATACCTTGTATATTATTAGAATTATTCCACTCTGAAAGAATAAGCTGGAAACGTGGGTGTTGAACAATGTGTCGAAGTGATGATTTGTTGCAGGTCTGCGAGAGAGCGTGCACCTGCGCCCAAATGGAGCTTCTCCAGGACTGGGTGGTGTTCAGTTTGCCAAATTTCATTCAAAGTTTACCGGTAACGATGTCGACCTGGTGTTTGTCTTGCTTCTTCATTAGTTCGTCGACGAATCATTGGTTGAGAGCCATGTATCCTTTCGTCGTATAATGAATAACTACTTAGTCCACTTTTTAGTCTGTCTGTTCGCAAAATTTTCTTAACGTTCCCTGCAGATTTCCGTACGTCCAATCGAGGATTGGAAAATACGAATACGAGGACAAAAAAATACTCTGTATCGCTGCTTCGGATTTTTATCACAATGTGGGTAATCGAACGTGGTGTCGTTTACAGTTCGAAGAATGTTATGCTTTTTTTTTTTTCAGTTATCTAAAGACACTCAGAAGAAGGCGTTCGTGGAGACGTTCGAAGCGGCGGCGAAGGAGCCGGGAACTCCTTTCGACGATATTTTAGCATCGTTTTAGATACAGTCTTGTTGACTATCTCGATACGCGAGAGGTGTATAAATCAAAACGGGAGATAGTCATTGGGAATGGTGGATTGTTCTTTACTCTCCTTGTAAATTGTACAATTAATGCCGGGTTGATGTCGTGTCTTGTGTACAGTAGTATCTATATGACGATATTTATTTTACATCGTGTACTCTGTCGGGAAGAAACAACTTGTTTTAAAATAAATAATATTTGTTAAGTATACATCGGTCCGTCTTAATCGTGTAAAGGAACCTTATACATTTTGTTATTCTTTTCCTTCACCCGTTTCGCGTAAAAACACACGTGAAACGTCGCGTAATAAAATATTTCCACGAATGACAGGACGCTCGCTCCCAGAAATAATCCTGCAGCTCCTCCGACACTAGCTAAAGAGCCAAAGATTTTTTCAATCGTTAATTTCTTTTTTTTCTTCATTTCACTAAACCGATGTCAATTATACATACTCAAAAAGCCAGTGAAGCCGTACAACAGCGATCGGTAGTAAACGATCTTCGGAAAATCAATGATTAGAGAAATACTCGTTGAACTCGTCGGAACATTCCTGAAACAATTTACTTTGTTACGTTGTGCCTCCCTTAAATCGACACTTTTGCGCTCGGAGTTATCCGAAAGAAAAGTCGGATTTATTAAAAAGAGCACCAAAAGGTTTACGAGTCTGTTTCGATAAATACAGTGTGCTTGTCCCCCCGCTGTCTGCCATTTGGTATCGAATTAAGTTGCAGTTCGGTAGGCAGTTACAAAATGGCGGCGGATTATCCGACAAGAAAAGGTCCTTCGTTATGTTACCGATACAACGTAGCTGCCTCGCGTTGCAAACGTTCACACCACCTAAAAATACATTAATTCTTTAATGAAAAGTTACATTAAAATTCGTTTGTAATTATGAATTAATATTCGAGGCATTCCACGCGAAATCAGACTCTTATTGGACTAACATTTCCGATTTTGTTGACACTTGGATATGTTGTAGTTTTCAGTGATATATAAACGTATCTCGAAGGATTTTTGAAAATTTTTGAAATTGTTAATTCTACAGTTGCTTGAAATATAGCGACGACCTATTTTCAATAAATCGTAACTATTGAACTAAGGTACTTAGGTACCGGAGTACATAATAAAAATTATTTCAGTTAAAAAAAATATTTTTTAACCATTTATTGTGCGATTGTTTAAAAGAAATACAATGTTATAATAGCGAGGGACTATTCAAAAATTTGAAAAAAAAAGTCAGTCTTTATGGACAAATTTTCAAAAATATAGGGACTATAAAAAATTGGCCATATGAAAATTAATCGAAGTTAACGCTGGGAATGCCCCGTTCGTTAGTCTGTCAACCTATTGGTCTGGCGAAGTGGGGCCGACAGTTGCACCGTTTCTCGATCACTCGCATCCTGCACTCTATCGTGCACATGTTCCTCGTGTAAACCGGCCACGTCTTCAAACCACCGTCGGTGACGAACTTGCACTTCCTTTGATGCACATGTAACTCTTTCACGTTTGACTTCGTCTTAATCTCGGATATCGACATGATTAGACGTTGCACCATTCGTAGCTGAATCAATTTCGTTTGGCCCCCGAAGGATAATGTCTCGAAAGGGTCGCACATAGCAAACTGGAGTTGAAAGAAAAACGATTAAATACACCGCAACGATCGGGTATATTGATACAATGATATATGTATTTAAACGGTACCAGCGCCTCGTTCTGCATAGCGACGGTTTCCAGCGTTCGGTCGTTGTCGCGATTGTAAAATGGTACCTCATCAGGTATCGGGACGGTGGTCCAATTGTTGCTTATCCAATACCTGTCACGAAAGTGAAATAAACAGTGCAACACGTACGGAATAACACTGTTCGACACGTAAAATACCTCATAACCGTTAATAGGCGTTCATGATAGATCTTTATGGGCTGAGTACCGTTTTTCCAGCAGTACGTCCAGTTTTTGAAAAAATCAATTTTAAAGAAAGTTGCAAATTTCCAACTTTGGAAGTGTGTTGTGCTACGCGTATTTTGCTAAACTATTTCGCTTCTTCATTGACAACAAAACAGATTTGGCAACTTTTCTTTGACACCTTCCTTAGCAGAAAGGTCTGCTCTATTGCATGCTGTGATTAGATTTTCTCCTAGATCGTTAGCTTTCGAAATAAATTGAAGAATATCGGCAACCAATTGCTGCCTTTTCGGTGTCCTTTGATAATTATTTAAACATATTTATATGACTATAATATAACAACCGAATAATTGTTACTGTAAAAGCACGACACAACTCCGAAGTTGAAAATATTCAATTTTCTTTAAAATTGAGTGTTTTCAAAAAACTGAACGTGCTAGGGAAAAATAGTTTGCAGATTTGTATTCAGCTCATAACGATCTATCAGAGGTTTATTAACGGTTTTTAACGTTTATAACTTATAGACGTTTATTAACGGTGACGAAATAGGAAAATAGGTAAAATTTCTCGAACAGTGCAATTATTTCAATAATATTACAGACTTATACGTAGCGTAGACCGCGAACACGTTTCTCTTCGCCAGACAGATGCCATTTTCCGTGACCACCCAAGCCTCGTACGGATCTGGTTCTTTCGTATTGATTGGCGGTATGTCCCTCCGTATATCGTGGAGAATCTCCAGCCATTTATTCGACGGCACCTTATCGAAGTCCGGTGTCTTGTCCATTTCCGCGTAATTAACGTACGACAGGAATGTGAAGAACTGTTCCGCTTCCGGCGTACGTTCGATGCCGTGTCTACAAAATGGAATACCCAACACCGGTAGGCCCCGCGACGACCAATCGAATCACAATAAATTACACTGGGGTACAAACAAAAAATTGTATTCATTATGTCAGGGATTTAAGATCTGTTTCAGAGTACACGAGGATCCTAATTTCGCATTACATCTGCATTTTAACTAAATTGGCTGCGATTTTCAAAATAATCGAAACTCTTTTGAAATTTAACGTTTTCGTCGAGTCGAAGTACTCGATAACTCTTGTCGAAATCATCCTTTGAAATTTGTTTACTTTCGGATTAGTGATTTCCAAAGTAATGAATAAAATAAGTGATTTTATTTTGTTTCAAGGTGAACTTTATGGAAGTGATTGTGTACTTTTTGTTTTCATAACTTTCCAATACTTTCTATGTAATTATCCTGTATCTTGTAATAGCTTTTCATAAATAAAATTAATTCAGAATCATAGAAATTGCTATGTTTCTTACTTTTTGCTTATACAGTAATGTCTCGATGAGTGTTCGAGAAAGGTTTTCAGTCCTTTATAAATTTGTTTTTTGCACGAAGCCAAGCCTCTGCTTAGTTTCTGTTTACTCTGTTTTGATTGGTTCCAAAAAGGGGGCCTCCAGTAGTAGGAATAACGCCGTTGTTCGTGTCGCATTCATCGAGGAATCACTGTATTTCATAAATATTTAAGACACATGCATATCTCAAAATTTAGAGTAAAAAAAAAAATTTATGGTATATTCACGACTAGGAGTACTAAATTACACAAAATCAACTCTTAAATCCCTGGCAACAGATACAATAGACTGTTCCCCTGTATTATCCTCTTACTTTTCGAACGCCTGTGGTATCTTGCTCTCGTCTACGTTCGGCATCGGACAGATAAACATAGCCGGTTTGTATATCTTGAATCGCTCGCTGTCATTATTCAACGTGATCACTGTGGCGTCGTTCTGATAACGATTCCAGAAGAGGACCGACAGAAAGACCAAGCATACCAGTGCACCGACGACGAACAGGACTGCCAGGAATCTTCGAGGAATTCCGAATATTGAACCGTTATCGAGCGAAACAATAGGGGACTTCGAGGGAAGTTACATATTAGGTAACGAAGAAAATTCGAGCCGTTTTAATCAATGAAGATAAATGGTACACAATGTGGATCAAACAGTACTTCGGAAAATAGTGACCTTTGACTTTTACTACCTATTCCCAAAGATTTAACAACCTTCTTATTCCTTTCTTATAAAAGTTTTCCTCTCTGGTACCAAAACAGTGTTTCAACTCCCTTTCGAAAACTTGTAAATTTTGAAATCGCCGATATTCGTACATGGTTGTCTATTGCTAAGAAAAGATGATAGTCCGAAGGCACGATTTCTAGAGAATCTGGAGGATGGTTCAATTGACCCCTGATGCCCTATTTGAATTCATAAAATAAGCAAGCCCGAATAATTCACTTGACACAGTCACACTGAGATCACTTTTTCAAAACTTTGAACGATTAATTTCCGTAAGTGTTACACACCGGTAAATTCTCTGTTAGATAAGCTCTTGTTTAACACTAGAACTACCGAACCCGTCAAAATGATGCATTCCAGATTTTTCATTTTATAATTGTTGAAATCGTAGAGATACTTTCATCGAAGTTTATGTTAACTTTCTTATACACTTTGTATTATAGTATACTGAAGTATATTGCGTTATATATTGCACGTTTTAATATATCACATCAGACCTGGCCAAACATTCACACGTAGAGTCACATAATAATAACACTAGTCCCCATCACTTGCTTCTGTTGTGTTGTTACCCTCGGGCAGGAATTGCACGAATGGTGTGACTGGCCCACTTCCAATCCCATCACCAGAGTAGGGACTTCGAGAGTGCCGAAAGTGGGGACAGTCAGCATCTCCTGCCCGAGGATGACGACACAACAGAAGCGAGTGGTGGGGGATGGTGTTATTGTTTATGTGGTTCCACGGGCGAATATTTGCCCAGGCCTGTGTTACACAATTGAAATTCGTTCTTATAGTTGATTTTTCGATTCACCATTTTGAATTTCGAAAATTTGTCTTTGAATTCGTAACCAGAGATAAACAAATGTCAACAAATACTGATCATCTTAAAAATCTATGTGTTTCGCTAAATATAAGCAAATGAGCGATGAAATTGAATATTTAAGATGGACAGATGGCTGGAGAATTTTATTACGAAAAATTAAAAAAAAAGTGATAAAAAGACTTGTAGACTGATTTGAAAAAAATAAGTCATTATATACCACTATGCGCCGGGGTAATAAATTATGCGCTTGATACCCCCTGCTGGTGGGGATAACCCCGTGACATCAATCGTGTATGACCAGTTTGACAGTGATCAACGAAGTACTCAATTTACCTCTCGATGGGATGTCTATTCGGAGCGACGAAATGTTTAAAACCGTGTATAGTCGAGCCGCTCGAGAACTCCACGAAGTATTTCCCGGCGTTCGACTTCACGGTGATCGTTCTCATACCGATTTCCTTCGGCACGTCCGCTGGCACGGAATTCAAGACGTTCAGACGGGCTTTCCGTCGAGCCTGGAGGTCCGGTAGTATCTCATCGTCGTAAAAGTAATTGTTTTCCCTCGGTCCCGATTTTGCAGACGCGTTCGTCGATATTTTCGGCATCGTTCCAGGTGCACGAGAAGCTCTCTACTACTTTCGCCACAGGAAAACCTGCCGATTTACCTCAGGCTTGTCGAGCATCGCCCCGAGAATCACGGCACGCTACGATTAATTATGAACGACAGGGAAGTGGAAATCGATTGGTGGAACAGATATCGTCCACTGTAATCCTTGTCGTGGACAGTTTTACAGAAAAAAAATGTTGTAATGCTCGCTGCACAGAGATTGAGGAGATAAAATGGAAACCAGCGATCATACGATTTCCGGTTAACCCTCTGAGTCCAGGGATATTTTAAATTTGTCGTGGAAGTTTCTTATGAGGTTAAAATAGTATATTTTATACTTTGGATTTGGAAGCTATTCGTTTGGAATGCATGAGAATGTGAAAATCATGGATTTCTGATATAGAACGTAGGAGTTCCGCCGGGGACTTAGAGTAATTCTTTTTCAACATTGATCGAAAATATAGTATAACAAATATATATACTTAAACAATTTTCTAATATGGAAAATCATGGTTAAATAGTGGTAATGAAAAATACTGTCATCATTTTAAATACCTATTCCGTTTTTTTATGTATGTTTGTTAAAAACAATTATTGCTAATGTTAGATATACACACATTATTTGTTGAACATTGTTTAACAAATAATACAGAATAGTACGACTCTTTGAAGAAATAGCTATGACACATAAGTACTTAACAATTTTAAATAATTTTAAAAGCTATTTAGTAAGAGAAAATAAGTTTTCTTAACCGTTGTTGCATTTCTCTGTAAATAATAAACAAATAAATTATTTCTACTTTTTAGTACATTTCGAAGTTGGTCGACATATTTTGAAGAAAATTTTTTTTATATGAACAGAAGGGTAATAAAAATTCGTTAGAATATATGGGACTCTGAAGTCCCACTAGGACTCAGAGGGTTAAAGATAATCGATTCGTATTATTCGAATAAAGGAAAGTAAAATGAAATTCTTTCCCTGTTTCATTTCCCTTTCCCTTCTCCGGTTCAATAAATTCGATCAGATCAATTGGATCCTCTTGATAAATAAGACCTCTCGAATCGTTCGTTCACCGCCTACTCGGACGTTCCATGCCAGCCGTGAAAAGCCTGCGAATCGACTGTTCCCAGTGTGCGTGTCAGCTCTACGATTTATAGAATATAAAATATTTTTTTTTTCCTCACGTTTCCTCGGCTAATCCTGTCGGTGGTTTCGCCCGATGGACGGAAAGAACGTGTCGCCGTAACCGAATTTAGGTATGACCGAGAGTCGATACGGCTCCACGGGGTTCCGGATCGTCCGGATCGAGACGCGGCGGAAATTTCTGTCGAAGTTATTCACGCGCACGAGACACGTTCACAGGGCTATTCGATCGAAACGGTAAGATCTTTTGGGCAACGAGCTGCGAATAAGCGACGCGTTTTCGTGTACACGTTCCTCGACAGGGAATGGAGCATTCCTACAGACGTGACAAACCGAGGCGCGAATATCAGCGGCCAGAGCCAGACAGAAGGATAGGCGGAGGACCGAAAAGCCAGGTGCGACATTGTCCTTCTTGCTTCCATCCTCTGGAGGGGTTGAAGCATTCATCTGGCATACCAAGGTAATGTCCTATCGTATTATTACCCTGTTTAGGGTAAACTTTCACTTTGCCGGACCAAAAATTATATATTGACTTTTTATTATACCTCCTGGTAGTATCACTAGGATATCTAGTCGGTGGTAGTATTGACTTAATGGAATCTGAAAATGTAGGTTTTAAGTTTAGGAATACACCGGTTCGATTATTATGCGCATGTAAAACTAAGTATTTTTAGCGTACTTTACAGGTTAGGTTAACGCCAACAAATAGGATCTAATCAACAAAGAAACAGTATTTTGCTTTGAATAACTGGCTCTTCTTTGCAAGCACATTTGAATTATCCCGCCAAAATGGCCGCCACCCACGTGCATCTCTTTAAAAGCGGTGACACCACTCACTAGACGAATTATGAATACAAACTATTATATAGAATATTAGACATGTAAAACTATTGTATTGAGGTATAGTGTATTATATAGAAGTCTGTGATACAAACCAATATGCCGTTAAACTAGCCTGTAAAGTACGGTAAAAGTGTTTGGTTTTAATACGCATAACTTTTGAACCGGTGGATTACGAAACTTAAAACTTGCATTTTAGACTCCACTCGTTGAATACTACCACCCAGATAGCACACAGACAAAAATTATCATCCCCGTTACATAGGGTGTAAAAATTCTTGCGTTATACTTTTTAGGTGTTCCAACAATGTGTACGAGGTTCTGAACACTTACGAGAACGATTATCTGATGCATCCGAGGAATCAAACGGCGAACACGTTGCAGAACGACGATCTGTACACCGGTCACGTGACATCGAAACCTCATCATTACTCGCGAATGAGACACCCTAGCGGTCATCGGCGGCAACGACGGAATGACCAGCAGGTTTTAATGCGCGACACCGCCGCCGACAGTTATTGCCCATTGTTTATGGAGAACGGATGCAGGAGAGACTTGCACAAGCTGTACTGTGAAGTAACGATCGAACAATGGATCCAGTAGAATACGGGTGTTCGATACGGAAATTTCGATTCGTAAAAATCGATGGTTGACGATTGTCTTTGAAACGATAAATAACAATATATCAAGGGGTCAATCTACTTTTTCGGCCGTCAAAGTAGAATGATCGTTTAAGGGGGTATCCCCACTCGGAGGCTTCATTTTTAATCGATTTTTAGACCTAAGAATTAACGGACCAAGAAACTTGTAGTTTTTCGTAGAAGCTTGGTCACATTTCAAAAAAGCACAGTGAAATTTGTGTGCAATTATCTTTTATATTAACAAAGTCATTAGATGCTTTTTGCATCGTATCCCTCTGAGCGGCTGCCACGATTTCCGTTGTTATATTCGTCGGAAAAATATAAATATCAATAATTCCCGATACCAAATCTTAAGAGGCCCTTTTCCAACGCCATTTTTCCCCTAGCGGAAGCCACGTTTGCACGTCAAGTGTACAACCGAAAATATTAATTTAATGTTTCAGTAACTAAATTCAGTAATTAAATTAAAATATAAATTTTATATTTATAATATGGATTTCGTTTCGCGTGGTAGATCATGTCGGAAGCGGTGGAGGACTCTGATATAGAAAGCGAGATTCAGACGAGAACAACGAAGGATTGGCGGAACTCGAGGCAACACGGGAAGAACGAGCCGGAAGACAAGAACATTCGACAGTGGCGGAACCGCGATCAGGAGAATCTGCGCCGTATGAAACTGGATCTCGATGTGTCCCGAGACGACGGTCGAAAGTACGGGGATCCAGGAATGGACGACCTGGAGGAAAAACGACCAAAGATGAAACTTTGCAACGATGTAAACTTACTCGAAGCGTTTCGGGATAAACTTCCGCAAAAATCACCCAGACCTCTAACCAATTCTAAACGACATGTTTTTCTTGAACTGTCTCCAACCAACTATGAACGATTTTTTGTTTCTTGATCTGTCTCGAAGTAACTCTGAAAGACTTTTTTTTCTAATCAGATAGAGAGATTTTATACATGGTACTTCGTACGAAAAAGTTCAGATTTTTGGGAAAATTACGGTACGTTTTTCAATCTTTCTTTGTTAATAACTTTTTAATAACCAATGATCCGGTGGTTTAAACCTTTTGTAGGTTGAGGGACCTTGATAACAAACATCAAGGTCAGGGTCATCGGGTGTGGGTGCTTTTCGGAAGTTCATCTGTGTTTTGCATCAATGTGTTCGCAAAGAAAGGGATCTTTGGTTACATACGTACTTTCTGTAAGCTTCGGGAATACACTCTTGAAATGCATCCCTTTCTCAGGAGAGCATCTGATATTCTACGACGGATGTTTCCAAAGTTTTGGGAATTCCGATCTGGTTGAATACTGCGGGGGTAATGACTGACGATTTCAGGTACAGATAGAGGTCCTGATAGATTTTTCCAACGTCGTTGTACAGATATGTTTTTAAGTGTTAATTTTGCAACTATGGAAGAAATCGTAAGTTCTGAAAGAGCCATTATTTTCTTAAAAATTAATTTTAAATGAATCGCTACCTAGGACTTACTCCAACATCTACCCTATTCGCCTGATCAGAGACACAACATCTATCAAACTATTGCCAAAATTGAAAAAATACTAAAACCCCGAGAAAGTTTGTTCAGATCGTCTAAAAAAACTAGTTTCGCCCTGGGACAAGTGCGTACCGTTAAACGGACATTATACTGAAAAGATTACAATGTAATATGGACGACAAAATGAATAAAATGAACGATTTATAACACAATTCCCAGAACTTTGGAGACACACCCCTCGTATAAAATTTCCACCTGCACAACGAAGCTGTATCGTTTCGTATTGTTCGTGTAGTCGTTGCTCGGGACAATGATGTCTGATAATTCCGATTATACGAAGGAGAGAGAGTCTCAGAGGCAAGAAACGGAGACGTTACACAGCCAGAGACGACGGAAAGATTCGACCGTTCGAAAAAGTGTCGAATGCAAAGGCGAGGATGAGTCGACGAATCGGGAGGAGATCAAGGACGACGCTCGTTGCGAGATCGTCGTCAAGGACGATGAACAGGAGACCGTGATCAGGAAGAATATTTACGCCGGTGGTGATCTGAATCTGTGCGCGACGAAAAGTCAAATCCTTGGTTTGATCGACAAGGCCCTTAGCAACGGATTCGGCTCGTCGACGGATCAGGCAAAGGTTCAAAGGTCGAAGTCGATAAAGTATTTTTAACACTAACCGTACCGACCGCCGGTCAACGACCGGTTTTAAATACGGTACAAATAGGTATATAAAAGTCTCGATATGGTTAGTGTTAAACGGCGTAGGTAGAGGAAAGAATGATAATCGATTGAATTTTCAGAGTGTCGACTCGAACCGAACGTTAACGAAAGAGATCTACATAGAGATCAGACGGGCGTTGCAGGGCGATTTCTGCGAGTCCCTCGAGGACGTGCTGACCAATCGTGGTTTCAGCCAGGAGTGTATACAGCAACTGAAGATGCTCCGGTCCGAGCAAATGAATCACATTCGGGACATGTTCAGGAAGCTGTGCAAGCTCCAGAAACTGTTGGACTCGTACTCGCCGAGACAGTCGTCGATGTCCACGTCGCAAATGCATCCGAGCGCGGTCAAGCAACGTGTCGTCGAGGAACGACAGCAACATGACGAGAAATAAGGGGGTCCTTGGAACCGATTGGCTTTCCCGACAACGGGATCCTCGTAACTGTATCGTCCGAATAATATAACAGCTCGAGGCTGCGACGGCGGGGACGTCCACTCTGCAAAAACGTTTATAGTTAACGGCTTTTCTTTTTCTTTTTTTTTTATACACTGTATTTTCTAGCGATTTTAACACGAGGCTCGAAAAAGCGCACGGTAACAAAAACGAACACAGCATGAAATAAAATAAATATATATTTCCTAATATAAGTAAAGAAATAAATACTTTCACAGCGTTTACCATGTTGCTCGGAATCTGTAAGATTCTTATCGATCGTCTCTACGGACAATCGACTGGTCAACTACTCGGAGACGTTCATTGCCGTCTTCTTTTGTGACTTTTGTTTTTAGTCTATCGTTTCCTTGGTTCGACAGAACTTTTCTCGCATCAGAATCATCTTGATCGCCACAATTATTGTAAATTGTAACCTGTTCATGGGGCCCTTCCCTCCACTGTTGCCAGAACTGACCCCCTCGAAACACTTGTGTTTTGTAGAGTTCAGTAGTCTTATCTCGGATGGAGTAATGCGATTAATGGTACTAATCCGCGGCAACGTAATTAAGCACGTATACGCAAATATTCAGGGTGTCTCAAAATAGCTTGGACTCCCGAAAACGAGGGGTTCCTGGGATGATTTGAAACAACTTTTTCCTTAGCAAAAATGTTATCCGAGGCTTCATTAACGAGATATTAACGAAAACCCCCGACCAATCAGAGCTCGGCTGGCAGACACGCACTCTGATTGGTCGGATTTTTTAGTTAATATCTCGTTAACGAAGCCTCGGATAATATTATCGTTAAGGAAAAAGTTGTTTTAAATCACCCGAGGAACTCCTCATTTCCGGGAGTCGAAGATATTTTGGGACTCCGTGTACATTTGTATTAAATGTTTTGTGTATATTTATTCATATAATGACGTCGTCACGGATTAGTACCAATAAGCACCACACGATGTGCAGGGCGCACATGGCATGTTTACGCGAGACAAAACCCTTGGATCTCTAAAAAATTTCGCCAAGTTCCATGGTATGGAGGTGCTATCGCCAGCAACTCTGCACCCGACTATCGTAGACCCCCGGCATCAGTTGTCGTTCCATCGAGCGCGACTCGAAAATGTCGGTTCTGTTCTTGCTTAGAATCTCGTGTTGTCGGGCATCTTCACGAAATACGCGACCTTGTCCTCCGCTACTCTGTAATTGTGTATCCATCTGGATCCTTTCCTGAGGCTACCGTCGATCCCGTCCCTCCAGACCCCAGCGGGCAGATAGACCTCCCTCTGTCTGCTACCCGAATAAAGGACAGGCGCGACTATCAGCTCCTCCCCGACGGAGAATTCGTCGACGACCACATGACAGGCCGGATCCGCTGGATCGAGCATCCATAACGGTCTGATTATAGGCAGGCCTGTGTCCAGTGTTTCCTTCGCGTATTTCTTCAGCAACGGTGTCACTGTTTTCTGTCTGAGCGTGGTCAGCCTCTTGGCTATCTCGAGGACCGACTCGTCGGAGTATTTGCTGGGCAAATGGGTGAATCGTATCACCGGCAAGAACGTGGACAACTGCAGCCATCTGATATAAAGTTCCTTGTCCGGCAGACTGACCTCGAAATCATTGTCCGGATTATTGTCGGACATTGGCAGAGCCACGTCACCGCCCACCGCGCCAGGCATGATGAACGGATAACCGATCATACCGTATGTGAGCACGGTCGGGATCACAGTTTTGATGGCCTTCCACGAGGACGAGAACGGCGGCAGCGAGACGAAAACCGGGGCACGGGGCCTGGAAATCGCGCCGGAGACACCGATCACGGGGACAGAGCCCAGGATCGCTTTCGTAAACAGGGTCTTGTAATGATCCGGATTGGTCAACGGTTGCTCGCACTTGTAATAATGCGGCATGTCCTGGGCGGTGCCCAGATCGAGATAAAACGAGTCCACGTGGTACTTCATTATCAGACTCTCGAGCTTGGTGTGCAACCAAGGCAGGGTCTTGTTGTTTGTGATGTCTAGAACGCCCACGCTGTTCTCCAGTTTGTATCTGCGAATCATACGTCAAACGTAACACGATACACGGCCGTCGCACAGTGTTGTGATTACAGATGTTGGCTGGACAAAACTATTCTTTTTATATTTAGTCCAAAATATTCTAAATTGTAAACTAGTTATGAAATATTAATGAAATGTTATTGGTTTAAAAGGAAAAATAAATTGTGTATACTGACATTTTGATAGAGTAGAGTGTAAGTCTTTCAATCTTCACTATTGGAATTGCTTATAGAACTGATTTCTTCACCCGATGTATCTTCACATTTCCGCGTATAAAATTTGGATTAAAAAAGAAGATTTAAGACTATTCTAATACTTGTGACGAAAATCTTCGCATTTATCGTTGTTTATTGAATGCTTTCAATAAACAAATTAGTCTAAATAATACTACGTACTATCGTTGGGCGTTTTCCTCATAAATTTCAAATTTGAGGTTAATAATAGTAAATTCAGAAAATCAATTAATTTCCGATACCAAGTGGTAGGAGGCCTTTCCCCTACACCACTTTTTCCCCCAAGGGAAGACCGAATTCGCTCGTGAGGGTATCTACCTCCTCGGTGCTAATTGATTCTTGTCGATAAAACAGAAATGTTAGTTAATCCATCAAAATTCAGTTGTTCCTTATAGTCTAGATATAATAGAATATATTGAGTATGTACTCTTCTTTACGAAAATAAATTGTGTCTGGTCCAGCCCGTTAGCATCAATCGAAGCACCGTACTCCGTTTTGGTTTCATCTGTGGACATGGGCTACCCCGGTTTTCAGTCAGGGGGGGGGGGGCAATGTAATCTTTATCTTCTAAAGTAGTGCAAAAACCACTTTTTTCCGGGCAAGTGCCCCCCCCCCCTGGCTACGCCCATATCTATGGATGCCTGTTTACCTGGTCAACGCGGGTATCCTCGGGTCGCTTCCTCTCTCGGATATCAACAGCCTGTTGTTAACAGCGTCCCTGAAGTTTACAGACTCGGTGGATATGAACGGTTGTATGGTGAACACGATCCTGAAGCCTCTACGATGGATAATGTTGATCGTCTCCTCCATAGAGGGGAATCGTTCCTCGTCCAGCACAAAGTCACCCATGCTCGGCTGCCATTCCTCGCTCAGCAGTACGTGCCCCTGACGGAGGAAGCCGAGCGCAATCACGTCCTCGGTGTAATTATAAATCGCCGCCTCGTTTGTGGGCGCGATCTGCCACACGGGCTCGGAGAGTAACGAATGAACAGCGTGCAGCTCGTCCGGCTTCAGACCGTCCCATAACGATTTCTCCGCCATGGAGGAGTGAAGGTTCTTCATGTTGTCGGTCGCGCAGATCGTGTAGTTCAGTTGCGGCATAGGCGTCAGACGATTGATGTACGCGAACGCGTCGTGTTTCGCCTGGAGACAGAAGTCGTTCGTACGATTCGCGTTGATCGACACGTAAAGTGGGGTCGCCGGATCGACCAGTATCGTCGCGCCTTTCGAGTTCAGAAAGTATCGTTTCAGCACGTTTCCGAACGGATGCTTCGCGATGTCGCCGGTGATGAACGGGCTCAGATCGAGACGTCCACGTTCGAGGGGATATCGCATGTTCTGGACCTGCCCGGCACCGTACCAGTGTCCCCGTTTCGAGGACCAGTCGAAGCAATCGGTGGGATTGTAATTCGGGTTCAGACTCTGCCAGGTGACGTGGTAGCAATGCATGTCACCGTGTTCCGCGTGCGCCAGATAGAGACGCGTCTGTTGGAGCCACTCGAGGCAAACTGTGTCCTGCTTCTGATGATGGGGCAGACATGGGAACACACCGGTCTCTGCGGGTATACCCTCGCCTAGTCGCGCGGCGATCACTTCTGCGCCGGTGCTGCTGTACACGTGCATCACACGTTCGTTTTTATTGAATCTGCGGGAACACAAAGATACGGTAGAAAGATAGATTCCCCCTCAACTGCGTGTGTATCCTCCTTGGGCAGAGACAGGCAAACTTATTATTTGAATAAAGAGTTTCGGATAACGAATAAAAGATAAGGAAAAAGTGCCTCATCATTTTTGGATCGTTTGAACGTAGAAATACCTGTTTTTGTAATAAAATAAATACTTCTTCTTAAATGAGTCGACATTTGCCAGACGATTATTTAATCTTATTAATAGTTCGAAGCTCAGAACTACGCCCTTGGATACTGTAGCTTTTCACTATATGTATTATTCGAATAAAATTCTACCCAACTCTGGCGGTGGGTTTTGTTCGTTTACCTAAATTTGTCGAAGTAGGCTCGCTGGAGAACGTGCTGGGTGTAATAGATGTGCGCGAACCCGACGAGGAAGACCACGCAGAGGAACAGTATACCGACGAATGCTCGGAGTCTGAAAAAGATCGTGTGAAACGTGACATTATTTTTATTTTCCCTGTGTGGGTAGCATTGGGTTGAACGAAAAGTTTGCGTGCCTTTGGTGTGATTTTTGGGTACCACAACAATTTTACAAAGATATAGGTACAATGGGCTCTTACGATACTGCCACGGCCGGGGCTGTAGGGGAGTAAAATTCTCAAGTCAAGAGCCCTCTCAATGCTACGTTCTGCTGTCATATCCTGGGCCCCAGCGCCTGCGCAAGAGTTGGATCGTGCTGGTGGCGACGGCGTACGCAACGTGGCGGGAGAGAGCGAATTTGTGGCAATAGGCCAAACGGCAATATCGTAAGAGTCCACTGTACTAAACAAATTCGTGGAACGCTGGGAAAAAGTAACAGAAGATAATGAAAATTATGTCATTGATTAAATAAATCACTTTCTGTAGAAAACAATATAGTGGAATTTAATTAGAATAAACACGCAGGAACATTCCGTTGAACCCAATGCGGTAACTGGTGTTCAAATGAGGTAAAGACAGCCGTCCACTTGAGAGTATCTCGTACGAGTTGCTCTCTACAGTATTGTCAGGTTGTGTATCCATTTGAGAGTAGCTTCGAGAGTTTTTACTCTGAGATAGTCACTAGAACAAAATTCTCAGAATAGTATCCACTAGACTCTTATGTGTAGTAACTAGCGATTCGTCCGTGCCCGTCTGTTTTGCAGTTTGTTTTGAACTGAGCGTGATTAAATCAAAATTAAATCGAATCTTAATTACATCGTTAATTTTCTTTTTACATCAATTCTTCTTGCAGGACATTATGTTTCGTATTATGAAATCGTTTTGCTCGCTGCGAGTGACTGTCGGGTAGAATATTATTGACTGTCGCGAGTTGCTCTCGAGAGTATTTCTTTCTGGATCAAGATTTTTTGTGGCCGAAGGCTATCAGATTTTCGGGGGCCCCTTGGTTCAAAAGCGGTGGAGGATTTTTCTGAGATCGTTGATATTTCCCCCATTTACTCATATTTTGCATTAAAGAAATTATTATAAGTACTTTAAAATGTACACTTTGGAATACAATGATGTGTGTTTAAAAAAAGAGTTCAAGTTTTTTAAAAATAAATTCCGAAAGTACGTGTCTTTTTTCAAGCTCGCAGGTAAGCACAACCCCTTAACGCCAGTGAAATAATATGGATTTCTACCCTCCCTGTTTACAAGTTCAATTAAAAAATAGAAGTCTAGTATCTCACCGATAGTCCGCGTTCTGTCGCTTCTTGCTGCTGCGCATCGCCTGAGGAAGAGACAGCTGCAGCTTCTCCTTCAGTAAACTGCTGATGCTGTTCACGCTGGTGATGGTCGAGTTCGCGCTCTGCCCGCCCGGTAGCTCCAGCTGGTCTGTTCCTAACTTCTGATTCATCATCGGCGACACGCCTCTGGTTTTCCGTCGCGGAGGAGCTTGCAACGGAACCCTGGAATTGTTCGTATACGTCCATGAGAATAGACGAAGAACAACGAAATATATTCGTTCTTTTTTTCGTACCTTTGCAGCGACACAGCACTGCCTACGTCGTATCGCGGGATCATATTCCTGACTATTCAACTATTCCTGGATCATCGAGAACGACGGTCGAATCGCGACGAGAGAGATTTTTATGGATACGAAGCAAACAAATGCGCGGTAAGCTCAAAATCTCGAGAGCAAACGTCACCGTAATCTTCACCGTGGCATTATAAATCAAACGAACCACGGAGTGTAGCCAGCCGGTGGAGAATGGGATGGATGCAAGCGTCGAATCGGTCGGAGAAACGAAATAATACTAGAGTAGAATTAACTTTTTTTGGTTCATGGACGGAAACGTTACGCGAAGCTACAAGCTTAATGGCCAACCTGATGCCAACTGACTGTCGCCGATGATTGTGAGACGTGCACGCAGCGTGTGGCCTTATACACGCGATAACCCTCGGGCGATAGAAAGAAGGTCGAACCCGTGGACGATCCCCTTGGTGAAATTCCTTTATCGAAAAATAAACACGCGTGCGGTGTACCGTGCGTCGATAAAAATAAGCGGACAGAAGCGACAAGTGTAATTTCAGACGTGAAGGAATCGTGTTCAGGTACGACGAACGAAATTTTCTCCGGTCGAATAAGATCGGCGTGACTCAAATGTTTCCGTGCGATCGATAAAGTCTCTTGGAAGATCTTCCGAAAGTTCACGAAGTACAATTCTAGTGTGATAAAGAAGTATCGGGACTGGTCTAATAAAAATGATTAGTTCATTCGTCCAAAATTTCGTCCCCTTCGAAGTAATCCTCTGACACTGCAATACATTTGTGCCCGAAAGTGGAATATTACTTTTGAAAATAAAAGAAAAGTGTGTAAAAATGACATGATTTTATATTTGAATAAACCTTTGGATAAAAGTATTTTGCATAGAATGATTAAACAGGGGAAGAAAAAAGAAATTGGAAAGAATTGTTTTCATGTTGTCAGAGATTTAAGATCGGTTTTAGAGTACTCGGGGATCCTGATTTCGCGTTACATCTTCGTTTTAGCTAAATTGACTGCGATTTTCAAAATAATCAAAACTGTTGATATCTAACATTTGTGTCGATTTGATCTTGTGAAATTTGTTTACTTTGGGGTTAGTGATTTCCAAGGTAAAGAATAAAATAAGCGATTTTATTTTGTTTCAGACGTGAATCTTGTGGAAGTGATTATGTATTTATATATATTTTTGTTCGTAACTTTCAAATACGTTCTATGTAATTATCCTGTCTCTTCTTATAGCATTTCATAAATAAAATTAATTCAGAATCAATTCATAAATAAAATTAATTCAAAACATTTGAGACACATGTGTACTGTATCTCAAAAACTAGAGCCAATAAAAGAAAAATAATGGTATATTCAGGATCAATTAGAGATTCGTGTGTCTGGACCCCAGAGCCAGAGTATAATAAATCGCACTTACCAAACTTTAGAGGAGAGCAAACCAAAGGTGTACAAATTTTGGAATCCTTCGGTAAGAATTCAAAGAGAAACAATCGTTACCTTAGAACTATTAATAGACTTAAAACAATGGTGAACATTGCATTAAGTCTCCTGTGTAATGGACTTTACACTGTTTAGCTCGGAACAAAATACAGTGGACTCTTACGATAATGCCGCCTGGCATATTGCCACGCGAGGCATTTCTGCACACGTACTTTCACGCACGCAAATTGCGTACGCCGTTGCCACGAAGGGGCCTCTCGACGCATTGCCCTGTCCGAGAATTATACTCTTCTACAGCCCCGGCAATATCATAAGAGTCCATTGTATGGACTCAATATCAATAGTCACATATTATATTAAAAACTGAACAACTCAGAACGAAATAATTTTTACCATCAGAAAGGGTAACAAATTTGATACAAGAAATATGTAAAGTGTCATTATTTAGCTTTAGACAGTGGATTTAATACACTCTGGCTCTGGGATCCAAATAGGTATGTGTGTACTCACTTCGCCAGCTCTTCGTCGTTCGCTTCCTCCTCGGTCTCAGACCCGAGCGGGCTTCCATTTGGCGTCGAGCCGCTGTTGCTGAACGTCACGCTGCTACTGTCCTCGCTCTCCGATCTCGCGAACTTGGACGTGGTACCCTGCGTGACAATGTTCATTACTCACGCGATGAAACGTGCAACGTAGCGAGCCTGCTGCTGCCGAAACATCTTACAGCCCCACAAGCTCGGTTTCCCTCTTTATTAAAACGAAACGAGACGATTTCACGCACGATGGTAAACATCACGCAATCCTCGAGGAACACTCGATTATTTCATGTAACTCGGGGACCGAAGCCGCGAGAATTGGGATCAATTCTTTACTTAAAGGGTTACTTACCTTTCAGCTGTCAAATAAAAGGGAAAATTGAAAAATGTTTTTGTATATGCAGAATTATTGTTTATTACAAAATTCAACATATACATCTTATTATGTGTCATTTACTTAGTGATTTCTGAAAAATTGAGCTATATAGACATCAACAGAAGAAAATGCCTGTCACTTAAAGGCGTTTCATCCGAAATGCAGTGTTCAAAAAAATCGGTACCAGAAATATTGACAAAACTACTGAACCTATTTGGATCAAACTTTCTGGTAATATTCTTAAGACTAAAATCTAGTACTTGACGAAGCCAATTTTTGATTCCTGCATTTCTTCGTTTTTTAGTAACAACAGAAGCTGAAGATTTATGTCGGAAACTATAAGTTTATGTTCAAGCAGCCGCTATTTTGTAAAATATTAATATTTTCAAAATCGGCTTCGACAAGTACTAGTTCTTTTTGTTTACTTTAATATAAAATTTAAAAAAAACTTGTTTCGGATAAAAGCCCACAGAGATACATTTCGTACCGAAGCTGGTGTTCCGATGAAACGGGTTGTACAGTAGACTCTACCTATATTGCCACTGAACATATTGCCACGCGAGGCACTTCCCCTTCACACGTACTTTCGAGCACACAAATTGGCTCCCCCACCACGTTGCGAACGCTGGCGCACCAACACGACCCAGCTTTTGCGCAGGCGCTGAGGCCGAGGCTATGACGGTAGAACTTAGCATAGAGGGGGCTCTGAACTCATTGCCATTTTACTCCCCTACAGCCCCGACTATGGCAATATAGGTAGAGTCCACTATAATTAAATGGCAGCCATTTTCTTCTGTTGACATACATATAGCTCAATTTTTCAGAAATTACTAAAGAAATAACATATAACAACATGTATATGTTAAATTTTCAATAAACAATAATTCTGCATGTACAATAAAAATTGTTTAATTTTCCCTCTTACTTAACAGCTCGAAGGTATGCAACCCCTTAACGTTCCAGTAGAATGTCGTGACTATTCGGAACGGAAATCATTCTCGGCCTCGAATCGTTCCACACATATGGACCATACACGTTGTAGAATCTGATCAACGACGGAAGGCTCGAAACGGAGAACTTTCACGAAACAAACGTCACATTTTACGGCACTCTGGAATATCAGCGATTGCAAACGAACCTCCTCGATCACATCCAATTTCTCTTTCCCAACGGCGGCGAGCGCTCTTTCCAACGAGTAGATCGAGCTGTACCTGTGGTCCTTTTCATCCTTCTCGTTCATGGACAACAACGGTCTCCGTTCCTCCGTGTTTCTCATACGACGACGAACGTGCACGCGTCACTGGCTCACCGAAATCTTATCAAACCGATGTGTCTTTCTACCGTACGCACAGTGACGCGTCGTGCCCGAAAATAAAAAATGGCGGGAACGATGCGTGAACAGGTGGTAAACACACACTGTCGATTCGGCTTGACGACGGGGGACTCGATCTCTGGACCGGAATTTCTTTTCCGCTTACGGTGAAATATGGGGGCTGATAATTGCGTCGTAGTGAAACGGAGAAATGTTGCTGTTAATCACCGCGACACTAGTCGACGACTACCAGTCGATTATTCACAGTCAGGGATACGGGCCGTGGTGTTGTTGTTGTTCCGCGAGGATCGCGACGGCGTGTTCCGCGGGAAAGTTTCCACTAGACGTCGCGTGCAAAATAAACTAATGGTGATTTATCGCAGTGATCGCCGAATCACGATCCCGGTCGTGATTTAACTTCATTCACGACCGTGATTGCGATTTTTTTATCCTGAGTGAATTTGCTCACTGAGATCGTAAGTGCTTGATCTTTAAACAGAAAAACGTATTCAATATGATTTTACGATGAATTACATTACTATTTGTGTTTTTAAAACTCAGTTGAAGAAAAACAAGAAATTCTAAAAGAATGATTTGCTAGGTAACATGTAGATTATAGTTTATAATCATTAATTTATTCATTATTCTTCATTGTTTCTAATTATTCTTTCACTTTACAGGATATAATTCGAATTTTTGTTTCGATGTCGTTAATATAAAATATACAGGGTATGTGTCGCGTGTAAAGAACTGTTATTTTTCTCCACCAATCAGAAACGATCACGCAAAATCACGAATCACTGTGAAAAATCACTCATGATTCACAAGTAACAGTGCACGCCATCTCTAGTTTCCACTCTCACGGAAAGAAGCGGTTATTTTCGTTAGTGTGACGTCACAGGGAGCCAAATAGCAATTCTGGCGATGAATAATTAAAAACCGAATGTTTTTAGAATCGGAAAATTTCGGTTTTACTAGTCTTAGGTAGTCGGTGAGTATCTGCCCATTAGGTCCAGATTAAGATTTTTTGTGGCCCAGGGCTATCAGATTTTCGGAGGCTGTAAGGGTTGTTTCCTTTACAATTAGGGGGTAAAACATCACTATCGCAATTTTTTTGTAGATAAATAATGAAATAAATGAAAGATCTGTTTTGAAGGCTTTTATTGTATTGTTCCCATCTTATGGAGTATGAAACTGGAGCCTTATAGGTGATGTTTTTATTGAGGGTGGAGGCACTCCTGGGCTTGCAGCATAAGTACCGTAGATTTGGACTTAGAACAGAAACCTAAAATTTGTTATGATCTGTATGACATTAGCTACAGAAATACGTATGAATATTTTGGAATATTGATAGAAATGATGGGCATTCGAAGAAAGAGTTCCATTTTCAGTAAAGAAATTCCGTGATCAATTGTTTACAACAAAAAAAAAGGGTTTCAACAAATCGTAAAATCCGCAAGTACTTCTGCAGCCTATTTCATGTAGATTATAAAAAAATTTGGTTTTGTGTTCTAAGTCTAAGTCTACGGTATATTTATGCTGCAAGTCCCGGAGCATCTCCCAAAAGAAACAGTTTCCCCTGCAGGGCTCCAGCGGCGCCATATTGAAAAAAGAAAAATAGTTTCTTACACCTTAAGATGTGTACAGTAAAGGCCTTTAAACAGATCTTTCATTTACTTTATTATTTATCCACAAGAAATTATCAAAGTGACACTGTGTTTTAGGACCGCTACAATGGTTTTTTATCCCTTAAAGTCACGGCGATGTGTAACAGGCTCACTCTCTTTCTCACCTTTTGCCTGTCGATTCGTAGATTCTCCATTTCGTCCAAATTGCTCGGCATCGAGACGCTCGTTTTACGTATACGCGTGGCCACGATTCCTCTGGTCGGTTCAAGCCGCAGGAATCTTTCCTGTGTTCCGTCCTCGATCACTTCCGGCCCCGTATTCGCCGACGCAGGCACACTTCCGTTAGGTTCCGCCAGCTTCGGATCGTCTGGAAAATCGTTAACAATCGATATCCAGCGATTGTCACTCTCTGAACGGTTCACGAAAAATTGCCATTAGCAGTTAGCCGCCCTAAGTCTAAGCTTTTCAACAGCATCCATTTTATTTTCGAGAAATCGCGGGAAACTAGAGAAATTTAAATCTACCGATTTCGAAGAATTGGAATTCTCTAATGACGGTTTTATGGCTATACGATTGCTCTTATTTTATTCTTATTAAACTACTGTTATGTATCATTTTTAATCAATTATTTATGAGAGATACGCAACAAAAAGAAGCTCATAAAACCATTATCCTATAAAAACAAGTATTCTTTATTCTTATCCCCAAGAGAGTTCATTTTTATTACAAAAAGAATCTATTTCATAATTTTTAATCAGTTTCCCTTTAAAATCACTGCTGCCATATGCGTACATTATACTCTATACTGTCTGCTAACAATTTGATTTCATACCATACTGTACTATTTTCATCACCCAGAAAGGTGATTTCCATTTTTGTCGTGGAATTTTCGTTCCGGCCCACGATGCGGTGGCGTTATCGTCGATATTACTTTGTTTCAAACTATTCATTTATATAACCTCGACCTATAGAAACACGTAAACGAATTTATATTCGTGAAACGGAACTGAGCAGATTCCCCGGGAAATTCGAACGTTTCAAGCATGTGCGACTGTCTGCCGGAAAAGGACACTGACGGCGGCGATCGAGCTGGACCGGAAACCGTGACGCTTTTTAAGAAATGCCAGAGATCCGATCGTTCAACGAAAGATATAGCCGGACGATCGAACTGCGACACGATTTCGGACAAGGACGACTGGGAGCCCGTCGATTCATCGCTGTCTGTTCTAGGGGCGGCGATATGCTGCGGTACCAAAGCATCTAAGACTTGCAGTGGCACATCTAGCGACACGAGAACGGTATACACTCGTTAAATTTATACAGGGTGATCCACCAAAAGCCGAAAACTTAAATATCTACTTGGCTGGAAAGTTATGAAAATACGTTTCGGTACAGAGTTGCACCGTTTGATGGGCGTAATGTGCTGACAGGTAATTCAGTTTTTTTTTTTAGAGATATCAAGGTCATCGATATTTTTTAAATAGGTTCACATATTTCTGCTGCGATAGTGTTATAGCCCATGGAAGAACAAATTCAACAATGTAAGAATGTTGACCTTTGACTGACTTTCACTCTAGAAAAATCGAATTTTTGATGGGTAGGAGAGAAATCTCAGTTTTAGCCGTTACAATTGAAGTGATGTATCTTTGAAAAATTTACGAATATGAAACGGTGAACTTTTTATTATTAATATTAAAACTCTCCTTGAATCATGTTATATTAGCTAAAGAAATTTTCGATCGAACAGCTAGCAGTAGAATAATCTAAGCTAAACACGTTTCGTGGTCCACCCTGTATAGCACAGTGTCCGAAAATACGTGCAAGTCCTTAAAATAGACGATTCTTAGGTCGATTTGAAACAACTTTCTCCTTACCGAAAAAGTTCTCCACGGCTTCGTTACTGAGATATTAACGAAAAACCCCGACCAATCAGAGCGCGAGTCTGCCGGCTGAGCTCTCGCGGTAGCACGTCGCCAACGTTACAGACTCGCGCTCTGATTGGTCAGGGTTTTTCGTTAATATCTCGTTACCAAAGCTTTGGAGAACATTTTCGCTAAGGAAAAAGTTGTTTCAAATCACCACAGGAATCACCACTTTCAAGGACTTACAACTATTTTGGGAGAACCTGTATATTATAATTATATGTATTCTCTAATAATAGTAATGTTCAGTTATTGGTGTATCCATCAACCACTAAAAAATTGTTAGATTTATAGTTTCACGACATGTCTCACGACTGTACTTGATTTCTATGCAATAATTCGCCGCCTATTTCTAGCCTAAGATCTTTACCGTGTAACGATCGACAGTACAAATTCGTCAGTCCGCGAGAATGCGAGTGTCTTCTCGGCGAAGACGAGGAGGAGCCCTGGGAGCCCCCGATATTGTCCTTCGAGCCGTGCGTCTACGAGGAAGAGGTCGAGGAACGTCCGGACATCGAGTGCACCTTGGCAATTATAAAACCGGAAGCGGTGGTCTATAGACGAGAAATCGAGAGACGGATCTTCGAAGAGGGCTTCGAGATCTATCAAACACGGTGGTTGCAACTCACGCCAGAACAGGTGTCGGAATTCTACTCGGACAAGTACGGACAGTTGAATTTCGCGCATCTAGTCGCTTACATGGCGTCCGGCCCCTTAGTGGTTCACGTTCTGGCGAAACGTCACGGTATAGACGAATGGAGATCGCTTATGGGACCGACCAAGGTACCGAGATAAACATTTCTCCCTTGGAAAATGAGTCGGACATTATTTAGAAAGCTGCAGCCATTTTTTTTTAAATATAGGGTGAACCACGAATCACAAAAATATTTTTATCAGGTACAGCATGGTTTCAAGAGAGCTTTAACGTGATTATAGCAAATTTTTTGTAAACTCTTTTTTTTTCATGATTTTTCAAGTTCACCTTCAATTTTTTGCAAATACCCCTATAATTTTTTTACGCCTATCTGTTAGAGGATTTTAAGACGAATTCAGTAAGTATCATAACATAACACGTATTACTTTTTTTTTCATCTGGGTCAAGAAAAGAGTAAAGAAATATTCGAACTGTAATATTATAAAGAGTATCGTATGCTACGCCATTGTACGCGTTCCGATGTTGAGCTCTTGCCTACTGTTTGTAAAGATTTCGTTCTATACATTGGAACACATCTAATAATACCTACTGATCAGGATTCGTGGTTCACCCTGTATATTGTAGAAATCAACATATTGAATAACTTTTTCGCAAAAACCTCGGAAACTAAAGCCCGAGCGCGGCGGTGACATAAAAGGAAAATAGTTGTTTAAAATGTAAATTTCTACAACATATTGAAGAATCATCGAAATCCAAGATGGCAACTGTTTTCCATATAATTACGCATGTTATCTCACGACGCACACGACTATTGTTGTGCAGGTCACAGAAGCCCGTTTATATTATCCCGACAGTATCAGAGCGAGATTTGGCCGTAGGGGGGAGGATTTCAAAAACGCAGTTCACGGAAGCTGTTCGAGAGACGATGCAGAAAGGGAGATTCACTTCTTCTTCCCCGAGTGTGAGTAACTCCGTGAAATTCTACATAAACTGTGGCCCAAAAATGTGGTGATTTTTCGTCTGTATTTGGTCCCAGGATTTTCGGAACTAAATTTCGTGTCGAATGATACCTTATGGTGAGACATCGATCGCAACAAATTTTCAAATCGAGCTGGCAATTTGTTTCCAAAATATGGCAGGTCAAAGAAGTTAAGTTTATTAACGCGTTATTCTATATACGCTTCGATGCACGGACTTTTATGTCACTCTGATAATTTAAAAAATTGTTAAGGGGTTTTGCTGATTGCTAACAACGAATCTGAACTTAGATTTTCGGAATTCACAATGGCCGATTCAATATGGTGGACGGTATACAGGGTGTAACAAAAGTGTTGTAGGTCTCTGAAATGGATCACTCGTGATGTGATTTGGAACAAGTTTTTCCTTAGCAAAAAAGTTATTCGAGTCTCTGTTGATGAGATATTAACGAAAAACCTCGACCAATCAGAGCTCGGCCAGTAGACTTGCGCTTTGAACATTTTGTTGTGATTCATAAGGTCATCATTTGGCACGAAATTCAGTTCCAAAATCGTGGGTAACCAAAACCGGATAATTTTTTGGGTCACTCTTTCATGCACGTCCAATAGAACGTTTCATTTCAGTTATAGTCGAACCTCTCCTGAAAGATGAATCGGCAATCGATTACCTGGAGGAAGTAGTCAATCCTGTCCTCGTAGAAGGTTTATCCATGGTAAGGCGGCGCAACGTGAACTATTTTTCTCGATGGAATCGACTAACAAAAGAAATGTGTAACCGTCGCAGTGTTGTAAAGTGAAGCCAGCCGATCCTGTATTATGGCTAGCTAACTGGCTGATTCTGAACAATCCTAACAAACCCAAGCTACCGCAAGATCTCGCCATGATTCCGACATAAGTATACACAGGGTGAGTCAATAAGAACAACGATCTACAATAACTCGTTAATTATTAATTGTATCAAAAAAAGTTTTAACAAATTATGTAGCATTTTAAGGGATCCATCGAATGGATACAATTTAATTCTTTATATCTTACTTTTTTTAGATATCTAGAAGACCTTGATATCTAAAAAAATAAAAATCAAATTGCATCCATGCGATGCGTCCCTTAGACTGTTATACATATATTCATTAAAACCCTTTTTGATAGAACTAATACGTACTGAGTAATTTTAAATAGTAGTTCTTATTAACTCACCATGTATACAGGATGATCAATTTAAAGTGAACACGCAATTAACTCCTAAACTATTTGTTATAGAAAAGAAATGTTTCAAGCAAAGCTTACTTTGTTTCAAACAGGACATCTTACGGTGGTTAGAAATCTTGTCAAGGTGGACGTGCCTTCGAGATTACAAGGTAGCCTTAGGTTTTTAAAACTAGAATCATATGTTTCTGGAACACCAACATATTATACATCCACGAATTTGCTATGAAATGGGCTATACGTCGATATAAATAAAAACATACGATTCCATTAACAAAAACAAAGGTCACCTTGAAACGTCCACCTAGATAATATTTATGACCACCACAAGATGTGCCCCATGAAACCAAGTAAGCTTTGCTTGAAATATTTTCCACCACAACGAATACTTCATGAGACAATTACGCGTATCACTTCAAGTGGGTCACCCTGTATATTAAATTATTCGTTGCGCAACATGACGAATTATCCTCACCTACTGTGTCCCTTTTCTTCGGAGATTCGCATCTGCGACATAACGCGCGTCTGCTCGATCTTCTCTGCACGCCAGACAGAATGGGACTGTACCTTCAAGCAAAATATAAACAGACATGGGATTGTTAATCGCAAAGAAATTGTCCACAAAGAATGTATTTATAACGTACGAATAAAATAAATGCAGTACCTCGATGTCACCAGGTTTTGTACAACGTTCACCAATTCCTTGTCCTCGAATGATCCCAGACCAATTGGATCCACTTCCTTCGTCGACTCGCAATCCCGTTTCTCCTCGATCACCTCCGGATCCTCGACACTTTTCTGTTCCTGAATTATATTATCGTCCTCGTATTGACTTACGACAACCCTTGGGAGGCGAATGGTTCTCGTTGGGTAGAGATTAGTTTTTCCATTCACGCGGTTTACCCCCGACGACGAGCCCCAGGTAGAACTCCTAAATCGAACGAAAACGTTAAAATTTCCCAGAAAGGAAGATTATAGAGTAAATTACCCAATTACAGATGGTGTCCGTATTATGGATGGTTAAATATATTTCTATGAATTAAAAATACTATATTTATACAACATGTGAAATAATATTTTTTAACGAAGTTCAGTTCTGTTTTTATTCCGAGGAATTAAAACATTTTCAATTTACACTCTTCGATTTATTAAGTTTCGTATTGTAATATTGAATCTGACAATTCGGTCGTGATTCTTCGAGCAGTCTAAACGAAAGTGCTAAGTCTCACATGCGCGAAAGTAAAGATAAATAATATAGTTTTATGGAATAAAATAAAATGAAAAAAATATATATATATATTGTTGCGGCGTACTCGCGATAAGCTCACGACTGCTCTTCGGTAAATCGATACCGCGAAGCTCGTTGGAAAGATGGTGTGATGGTGTGTGGTAATATGTATTTTAACACTAGACCTACCAAGCAAGTCAAAATGACTTGTCAATACACTCTTACAACGACGATTAAATTCTTACGATGATACATTTTCTCAGACCTTTTGCACCTTTTATTACGATGTGACAGTGAAGAAGTTACTCAATTTCTAAATTTCTAAATTTTCAAAAGTTTTTCACGTTTATCCACCGATCGAAGCAAATATGCGTTTATCGTCGATAGTTCTAGTGTTAAATGATTGACACAACTTAGTAACACACTCGGACTTTAATATAAACTTAAAAATGCGATGTATGTGTGTACTGGTTGTGTTCTGACTGATTCATGTGTTGACGGTTGAATGTGTTCTGGTGAATGAGTGAAAGTATAGATGCTTACTGGAACGATTGACTCGTGATTGGTGGAAAATGTAGAATTTTGGTTGGTGTAGGTGGTTCGAGAGGTGGTAGTATGAGTTGGAAAAAGTGGGGTTTGGTGTATCTAATGTTTCTTGGATTCCTGGAAGTAAGCGCCGAAATATAATGAACGGTCTTAAGGACCGTAAATGTTTTGCACGTGATGTGCAGCTGTCCAGGTATCCCTGTTTATGACGGTTTGGTGACCGTGTCGACGGCCCAAGACTTAAGACACGAAGAGTTTGTATTACGACCATCGCCTACCAAATAAAATAATTTTAATTAACTACTAAAGTACGTTATATATATATATATACGTACTTTAGTAGTTAATTAAAATTATTCTTAAAATGCCTTTTAATTCAACGATTACCGCGAAAAATTTGGAAAATTATGGGTGGCCCTAATTTTTTGGTCAGGGATTGTATATGAATATACAGGGTGTCCCAACTAATTCTGTCGCCCTTAATTATTCTCTTGTTTGTCACGGTACAAAAACATGGTTCGGGAGAAAGTTAGTGTATTTTAGGGGGTAAATTAGGCTATGAGATTGAAGGTATCTAAAGGTCGTATCTTCTAAGATTTTTTAAACGGAATGCCTTATTTCTTTGTATGCCATTACAAAGAGGAGATCAATACGTATCCAACAATATATCACACTATGGGGTGTCAAAACTTTCAACATACATTAAATACCCAACTTAATTTGTCCCTCGGTGTCAAATAGACCCAGTGGTAAAAATTAATACAATCAAGTGATAAGTAGTTAAATTTTCAAATTCTTTAACTAAAAATCTCAAAGCTTCAGCTAAATATATCTAGACATGACAAAATAACGTCATTTCTTAGGAACAAAAATAATAAATAATGCGATTATAACGTTTATTTTGTTTCTGGAATTCATTTTCTGTATCATTTCAAGGTCATAGTATGGCCTAACCCCTCAACGCCTACCATTTAATGGAAATAAAAGAAGTGAAAACTGTAAAACAACACAGAAACATTTGTTTCTGCGTTCTCTAGATCTTTATACCTGGGCCGTTCCTCGTTCTCGAAACGCACTCTGGCGACTGATCCGACCCTGTACTCGCAATCGAAATCATCGCACGTGATTTCCGGCGCGGCGACGATTAATCCATTGCCGTCCGGAATTGTCTGATCGTCCCGGAGGCCGTAGCTTCGCCTCGAGCTTCTCGCCTCGTTGGCAGACTTCTTTCTGGTTGGTTTCTGCGGTGTTTCCGGCGAGCTGAATCCAACGTCAACCGGTGATCTAACTCGCGAAACATTCGAAAAAAATTCATATCTTTCAACACGCATATACGCAGTAACGACCACGGAATGGGTCAGCGGAATAGTCTTGACACGGTTCTCTGAACGTCGTCACGTGATATTAAATTTCCTCAAGATTCTTCCATTCCGTATTTAACATTACGTTGAATGTTGAAAAATGAAACGTTACCAAGCTTTTCGTAACGGCCGAAATATTCTACAACGATATTCTATCGAAAGGTTTTTTTTTTTTTTGCAAAGTCTGACCGAACCCAGTTCGTGTGTAACTTCAAAGACCTGATCGTAGGTTTTTGGTTCTGCAACGTGGTCTCGCTATTTAACACCCTGTTTACGGGACGCGTCGGTTGGACGCAATTTCGAATGTCTACTAACCTCGAAATGCTCTATGCTGTATACTTCCCTCTACGGATACGCGTCAATTTGTTTTGTCTTTTTATTTCAAGAAAATCTGCGGTTCCGCGTTGACCCGTGTTCATCGAGATAAATAGGTACACTAACGAGCAACCTCGGCTTCCTCTATAGGAAAATTCCTCTATCGGTATCGAGAATTACAGAAATTTATGTTAAATTAACGTTCGATTTAATATTTATTCCAGTACTTGAAATAAATTTACCAAGCGGTAGGTCCTTCTCTTACGCCACTTTTTTCCCTAAGGAAGCAGAGTTTGTTCACGAGGGTACATAAGAAATGTTCGTAAAACCTAGTGTTAAGAATACGATTTAAAGAACACGATTTACCTGCTCGGCGAATACCATGGATCCACCCAAGTGGGCTCACCGGAACCAGAAGACTCTAAGGTTCCGTTGCGGGATGTCGAACGGTCCAAGGAATGGCTGTAAGCTGGTCTGTACCAAGGTGACGGGATCCTTACGATCCTGCCAAGGGAAATCGACTTCTGGACGATGGCGTTTCCGTTCTGTTGCGGCGGTGTGATCGACAGAGAAATTCCTCGACGCGCCGCCAAGCCGATCGGATCGACACTGGCCACACGGACGTCCCAGGGATCGACGATGGAGAGCAATACTTTCTGCGGAATAAGGATGGCGTATACGAGAGAAAGAAAGAGAGAGAAAGAGGCACGAGCAGAGGGGACAATGAGGAGAGACCACAGTCGGTGGGAGTTGGTCAGTTAACGCTGATTAAAGTAACCGCGTGTAGCACGACCAGTTCGAGCAAAGTGGAACGTGAAAAGATCGTCTTGAACGTGGTTCCCGTCGAGGTATCGGTGACACTTGGAGGAAGGAAACAGCGAAGGGCACTCAGGTCCCTTGGACCTTGTGTCATCGATGGAGGGAAACGATACCCGATACAATTATAATGCCTCGGAAGATTCGATTTTGTACGTGCCCACGATTCTACGGATGAATCTAACAGTGACCAGCTATGGTGCAAAATGCAGCCGTGTTAGAACTGTAGAGTGACCAAAGATAAATACTAATATTTGATGCAAAAATTGATACAACTTAATAAAAGTATTATTTATTCATCGAATATAAGTATGTAGTAATAAGGATTAAAATAGTTTTTTACCGTATGTTATTCCATTGTTTTTTTTTTGTAAAGTCATGAAAATCACGTACTTTTCATGTCATACGACGGATCTGACCCGTCATCACGTTTAGGAGCAAAATTGGGTTATGACGGGTCAGACCAGTCATGCGTTTTTTAAAACTATTTTTTACGTTCATCCTGACATAAATTTTTGTCTGCGTGTAATAATTTTTTTGTGTTATTTGTATGCCTTATACTACTGTATTCTAAACAATTTATATAAATTTCTTATTGAGCAATAGAATTAATTTATTCATTTATTCTTTCAAGTACGGATTTATAAGCGAAATTAGCTCGGCTGGTTAGGCCCAGAAACTGGACGTTTCGTGTGGACGCGAAGGGGTTAACCCTTGTGAGGGCAACCAAACTATCCACCGTTATTGAGCACTCGGAATACTTCTATTCCGACAGATTCGATAAATATTGTAGATAATTTTACTTTCATACTTTTCCCTTCCGGCAATATACCAAGTGTTGTTTTAGACAAGAACATAAAAAATTGTGAAAGCAAAATTTGGAAATTGGTACCCGGTTATCTACACAAGGGTTAAGGGAAGAAATTCCTACGTTTGTAGAATCGATAGTACCTACGAGAATTATTATCTTTACAATTCACTAGGTACTTTATAAAATGAATTACCGATAGTGCACCTGAATGGTAACAAGTGCGTTTCAATGAGAAGTGAGTGAGTTCCCGCCACGCTTCCGAGCCCGATCAAGCTAATCGCCGAGCTAATTAACGACTAATCAGATTATAGTGTTTACAATCGATTGATCACCCGAGACAGAGTCGAGCCGCGAGTTTGCCGCCGCGCAGGACTACGCGAATTACATAATGAAAAATGATAGTGACTCTCGTGTCACGCGCTCCGTCGTGTATTTTCTCCCTCGATCCCCTCCCCTCCCCCCTCAACGAACTCGTCGCATTACACACGTTCAGACACTTCATGCATCGAGGATATTTAGTTGTATATTGCCTCCCCGAATTAGTGACTTCATAAAAACAGTAGGGGTTTCAGTCATTCGCGCCTTTTACCCTTGTGTAAGCAACCGGGTAAGCAGTACCTCGGTAAAATCGACGGGCACCATATTGTGCCCTCGTAAAATTATTAAGTTGTAAAACTGCCCCTATTTCGGTAGCCGAAATTATAATTCGAAACGCTTAAGACTCGTCAGGAGCGTGCAATGTCAATTCGAAATGGGTTACCTGCAGATTAATTTATTCCAATATAGTAATTACTATTGAGCAGAGGCGAAATACCGTATAATTTTGATGAAATATTGTAAGAAGTTTTACATATCAACTTGCAAGTGACGTTTGCAGCCTGAGATTCTGCGTCGAAAACTGTTCGTCTTTACTATTGAACAAATATTAGTAACATTCTTATCTCGAGGAATTCTTATCACGTGGATTTGAGTTCACGATCTAGTAAATCTGCGGTGCATGAATCAATTATAAAATATGAAAGTACGTAGAGGGTGTTCCAAAAAAATGTATACACTGTGACAACGGGTCATAACTTTCTGATTTTTCTTTCTTTTCAGGGTGTAATTAATTGGAATTAACGAGTGGACCAAGATTAACTATTGAAAAAGAATAATTTATTTGAAATGGTATTGGAGGTATGAAAATGTAGCAGAAGTACAAAGACAATATCGCAGGGATACCTTAAAGATAAAGTCTACGCCAGAAAATCGACGACATTGGAAGAATTAAAAGCCGGAATTGTGCAAGAATGCGCCACAACATCAAATAGAAATGTTTGTTCAAGTTTGTGAATCAATAGCCCACCGTTATCAGCAGTGTATTGACCAGAACGGTAATAACTTTGAATATTTGCGATAGGAGGAAAAGTTATAAATTTTATGTAGATTCCTTTGCAATTTAAATATTAATTATATGTGCATAAAAACTGAAGTTACAATCATTCAAACTGTGTATACATTTTTTTGAGACACCCTGTATATGACTCTCAGCATCGAGAAATTCGTGGTAAACGAAAGAACGTTTCGTGGATCATTGAGCGTACCGATCGAAATCCCGATTTCCATAACGATACCCATTCAAATATCGTCTGTCGCGCAGACAATAATCCGCCCGCGTTATCAAACGTCAATAAAACGGCTCGCGCGCGCGCGCGCGTAGGAAAACGTTTCGTTTTGTTAATCGGTGGATTTAAGATGTGCGCGCTCGCGCGCACGCACGCGGCTCTTTAATCGCTTTATTGTCCCGTTTGAAAACTGTGTTCGTTGCTCCACTGTGCGGTAAACAAGATACGGGACTCACCCGATAATGGCTGCTCTGCCAGCCGAGCGTTTGCGCTTTGCAAACACGCGGGAGGTGTGACAAACGAACGCTGGCCACAAATTACGTGCGTACGGTGTGTTCCATCCATGTACACGCTTACAACGGATAATCAAGCGAACCATGTCTGCTTCTACCTGACTGGATCGGTGAATTCGATCCACAGTAAGGATGTTCGATTTTTATTCGATTTCCTTGGGTATCGCGTCATTGCCATGTATAACACATACGGTTTACAGGGTACCTCAGCTAACTTCTATTCGAAAAAAAAAAGCTTTCGAATGATATATCATTAATTGAAAATAGTAATATACGTAAATGGAAAGTTAAGGAAATCATCGAAAATTTAATCTCTTAAAAGTGTTCTAATTCGTACAATTTAAGGGGCCACAGGATATTTACAAATAATTTCAAATATTTTGTTTCCGCAAGGATACAACTAGTACGAGTACGAATACTTTTGTTGAATTTCATTTATATTACTCAATTTATATACTATATTACTATATTACTATGAATTGTTAGTTTTCAATAAACGACGCATTATTCGAAAGCTTAGTTATTGCACTGCATATCCCTATTGATAAACATTTTGGAATATATATATATATATATATATTGTTAAGAATTAGTCATTCGAATTCAAGAATTGCGAGGGTACGACTACTTCTGTGACACACTGTATATATTTATTATAAGTACATGTATTATTTACCTTTACTTTCGTGCATGTGGGACTTCTTAGCACTTTCGCTTAGACTGTTTGATTCAAGATTAAAAAACGAAACTTAATAAATAAAAGGATTTAAATAGAAAATGTTTTAATTCCTCCGAATAAAAGCGAAACTGAACTTTGTTAAAAAAAGAATTAACACAGATCTTGTATAGATACAGTGATTTTAATTCCCAGAAATATAGTTGACCCTGCATAATACGGACACCATCCGTAATTAGGTGC